AGCGGCCGCAACAGCAACAGCACCACCACCACCAGCAGGCACTGAGGCCAGCTTTTCCCTACCGGCAGCAATGACCTCCACTATATCTCTACCCTTAATTTCAGACAACAATTGTTCAATCCTATCATCATTGGCATCTGCTCCAACTGCAAATTAAAAAATTAAAACACCATTCCTCAGCTTCATGAACCTCTCCACAATATATACCCATCAAAACTAATACATAACAAAATAAAACGAACCCGTTTACCAATTTTGGCACCAATGAACCAAAATCAATTGGGGCAAGTAAATCTCAACCTAAACCTACTTAAGAGCAGCACAAATTCACACTCATACCTAAACCTAATTAATTAGAATAAGATATTCAACACATAAAACAATTAAAATAAAAATAAGATTTTGATGGAAGATAAGAATGCAGCGTACCACAGCCAAGGATTTCCTTGATGTCAGCGGCGGAGGGGCTGGTGTTGCCTCCGAGCACGGCCAACAAATACGCGGCGATCACCTTCATCGTTCTGCAAAATCACGCACTGTAAGTAACAGTCACAAAAATATAAGAATACAAAGACGCAGAGAAGAAGAAGAGAGAGAGAGAGAGAGAACCTGAGAGAGAGGGTGAAGATGCGAACGAGGAGAAAGCAAGCGGCGACTTTCAAAGAGGTTATGTTATGGCTCTGTTAGAGTGTGATACTGCTAGGGTTTCCTTTTGTTTTGCAGAAAGAGAGAGTAACCGGTTTGTGGGCTTTGTTATCCCTACCTGTGTTAAGAGGCCCATTTTCACCAAGTATTATGGGCCTTCACAGATGACTTTGGATGGGCCTTCTTCAGAATTGGAGCAGATCGGCAATTAACAATAGGTTTATGATATATACACCTCTCTTTTTTAATAAGTACACTTCTTTTTTTTTTAAATAATTAAAATTTTAAAATAATTTTAATTTTTAATTTTTAATTTTTTAATTTTACATCCATAACATTTAATTTAATATTTCTTTTCACATATCTTTCCTCATTTTTTCAATTTTTATATGTACTTTCTTACCTTTTTTTTATCCACCTATTTTGATAATATTTAAAAACTAAAAGAGAAAAAAAAAGTGTATAAAAAAGAAGAAAAAAGTAACAAATTGAAAGTTAGAGGTATAAAATTAAAAAATTTTAAAAAAATTACAATATTTTATAATTTTTTTAAAAAATAAAGGAGATGTGCTTATAAAAAAAAGAAGAAAAAAAAGGAGGTGTATATATCATGGGAGGCAAGAAGGAAATGGGCCCTAAATAAGTAGTTCAACAACTCAGCCCGTGATTCAAGTTCTGCTATTATCCAATTTTGCTTAGAACTTAGGGAACTAAATTATTTATTTTCGTTAAGTCGGTGTTAAAAGAATAAAAAAGAGATATTTTAACCTTTCGAACAAAATAAGAAAAAGAAGATAAAAAATCATCAAGTTTCAGTTTGACTTATGTTGCTAATTTATGACTTATTATTTTTGTTTTATGAACTTTTGAAATTATTTTTAATTTTATTAATATTAGCATATAATAATTATTTTAATACTAGATATTATTTATGTAACAACCCGGCTAGTCACCACACAGAGTACAACAAAACAGTATCGCACATAAAAGAGCAAGTATATATATATAAACCACTAAAATATATACACAAGATCCAATCTAGGGCTAAGAATCAGAGTATATATAAACTACAGCCCAATTGCTACACTATGTAGCTAAAACAGCAAAACATCCAAAAGAATAAACTCCATCTGCCAGCTGCAGACCCGTCTCAACTAACCAACCTAACCCTGCCCTGTTCCCATACATAGTATGATCATTGCAGTCCAAATCACATGGAAACAACAAAGGGTAAGCTAGTGAAAAGAACCAGCATACATATATATAAGAATACATGAAAGGTAAAAATAGCTACAGCTAACAGCATATCGTCTAGTTCAGCAACATCAGCATATAATATGTCACAGAATACAGCATGAACAGCAGTAAACACACAATGCGTCGTCATGCATATCAGCTAGATTTGGTCGCTTGTAAGCGGTATAGCTCGACCTGACCCTTATACCGTGGTCGCTTTGTACATGTGTGCCTCGACCTTGCCCACACACGGGACCACTAAGAACTTAGAGGAGAACAGCATAGTTACCACTCCAAGGGTCAGCTTTCCAGGGAGGGTTTTCAACAAATTGGGCTCTAAGAGCACCACAGCTACCTCAATCCACACAATGGGATGAGCAATTTCGAAAAAAAAACATCTCCTCTAGTCTTAGTGATCAATAGTTCAGCCTTACGGCCTACAACAGCTCAGCCTTACGGCCTACAACAGCTCAGCCTTACGACCTACAACAGCTCAGCCTTACGGCCTACAACAGTTTATATCAGCATGCAGCACAACACAACAAATCAGCATACAACATACAGCACAGCTAAATAATATACAACACAGCTTAAACAGCTCACAGCTCAACAATATTCATCAATCATAGCTCAACTCAGCATATAACAACATCTATCAGTATTTTCAACATATACCAGCATATAAAACAGCATCTCACCAATCTCTCATCAAAATATCAAAACTCCAATTCTCAAATTCAACCTCCTTTGATTCAATTGCTTACTACTATAGATTCCTAAATTCCTAAAAAAGTATCAAACAAATAAGAAATTATGAAAAGATTAATCAAAAATAGCATCATCAAATTATATCATGTCTATCAGACAAATCTTGAGAATATCTCATCCGCGCCCGGCGCACTCATGGTTATGCCCGGCGTGGCCCAACCAGAGAGCATCAGGGCTCAAACGTGCCCGGTGCAATACCCATTGCGCCCGGCGTGCTAGGAGGCAGAGACCTCAAAAGGTCTCATACGCCCGGCGCAATATCAATTGTGCCCGACGCCACCTCTGGTAGAGACTCCTAAGGAGTCTCCACGCCTGGCGAGACGTGGTCACGCCCGGCGCAACACTAGAAACCCCAAAAACATGTTACATATTGATATCGCGCCCAGTGCGGTCCCAACCACGCCCGACGTGGGCCATCCAGAGGCTCACACTCTCAAGCTCGCCCGGCGCATACACCATTGCACCCGGCGGGCTTGCCCAAAGGAGCCCTCTGGTGGTCACGCGCCCGGCGCGGCGCGAAGAACTGCGCCTGGCGTGATACTTAGCAACAACTTACCAAGTTCGAAAATCTTGCCCAAAAACTGCAAAAATCAACATTTCCAGCACATGCAAACTAGCCAAAACGCCACATTTTCATCAAACATAAAGAAAAACACCTCATTTTCAGCATGCAACCATTAACAAGGAAAAATCCCCAAATTTCATCAAAACCCCGAATCCCTGAAAAACCCATTTTCTTCCATCTCATCCAGTAATCAACCAACATCAACAATGAGTTTCTAAACTCATTTCCACACAAATCCAGCCAAAAACCTAGCTTCCCTTACCTCGGTGAAGAATCCGAGCTCCGGGAAGAAGAACAACGAGAGAAGAAATGGAGAAGAGAAAGCTTGAGAAAAAAGAGAGCTCCACATGGCTCAGCTAGCTCCTTCTAAACTTGATTAGCACCTAAGCTTACCAAAAGAGATCAGCAAGTGAGTAGGAAGAATTTGAAGAAGGAAGAGTGAATGAGAGAGTGAGAATGAAAGTGAGTGAGAGTTGAAAGGGAGAGATGAGAGATGCGAGTCTCACAATTTACTAGATTGTTATCTATATTTTTTTTTTTCATCTTCTCTCATTTTTTTTTTCTTTACCAAATACATTCATCCTTTACAATATTTTATATGTTTATTTTCCTTTTCATCCTATTTTTATTTCATCAAATAAATGATTAATTTAAATTAGTATTATAGTTTGTGCGTTATTCAGACATATAATATATAACTAAAATTTATAATAAATTATATATACAAATAAATAATATGTTTATAATATATTATATATAAATAATATTTAAAATTTTTATGATTACGTATTTTAAAAATATAAATTATATTTTAGATTATAGCACAAGATTAATATTATTTATAATAATTTATTTTAACTATAAAAATTAAATTCATAAATAATCATGATAAATAAAAGTCAAATTGTATAAGAACTTAAATAAAATAAATAAAAACAATCTATAATAAAAAAATAATTAAAAATTTTCTTACACAAAATAGTCATTCATGTTCAAACTTCTTCCTTTGTCATTTCTCACAACCATGGTTGTGACACCCTTACTACCCCAACACATATATTGTAATAAATCTTTCAATTACAGTAAAAGGGTTCACATGAGAAACTTCGAACAACCACATTAGCAGAAATATAAAACATAACACTCCCAAAAATACACAATTTTATCATTTGGAACGGCCCGTTCCACATTTGGAACGGCCCGTTCCAGAAACCAAAAATACCCAAAAACTTTAACAAAATTACGAGAATGCCATTAATATTTACGAAAATGCCATTAATAATAAATTTACAAAAAATACCCTCATTCCTCTATTAAAATTACGAAAATACCATTACTAAATACGAAAATGCCATTAATACAAAAATACTCTTTATAAAAAATTGGGGTGTTACAAAGGTTGCCATTTCACAATTAATGATTTGGTTAAGTTGAAAGTTGTTTTAGGTGCTTAGGTTGATTAGTGTTGTTTGGGTGGGTAATTTGGCATGATAGATGAGTTGTAAAAAAGATGGGTGAGTCATATTATGTGTTGAATATGTTGTATGCTGTGAAGTTGTTGATCATGCTATTAATAATGTTAAGCTGAGCTGTGCTGTATGTTATTTTAGCTGTTATTGCTGTTAAGCTGGGCTGTGTTGTATCTTGTTTGAGTTGTTATTGTTGTTAAGCTGAGCTGTGCCAAATGTTGTTTATGCTAATTAATGTTGTTAATGCCATACGATGAAAAGTTTAGTTGTGCGGTATGTTGTTTATGCTATTAAGGATGTAACGTTGAGCTATGCTATATGATGCTTATGCTGATTAATGTTGTTGAGCCGAGCTGAGTTGTATGCTGTCTAAGTTGTTAATGTTATTATGTTGTGCTGTGCTGAATGTTGATTTTGAGCTGTGTTGTGAATATAGTAGGCCGAAAGGCTGAGTTGTTGTAGGTCGTAAGGCTGAGCTGTTATAGGCCGTAAGGCTAAGTTGTTGTAGGATGAAAGGCTGAGCTGTTGTAGGCCGTAAGGCTGAGCTGTTGTAGGCCGAAAGGCTAAGCTGTTGTAGGTCGTAAGGCTGAGCTGTTGTAGGCTATAAGGCTGAGCTGTTGAAGGCCGTAAGGCTAAGCTATTGTAAGCTGTAATACTAAGCTATGTAGGCCGTAAGGCTGAGCTGTGTAGGTTGTAAGGCTGAGCTGTTGATCACTAAGACTAGAGGAGACATTTTTTTAAATTGCTCATCCCTTTGTGTGGATTGAGGAAGCTGTGGTGCTCTTAGAGCCTAATTTTTTGAAAACCCTCCCTGGAAAGCTGTCCCTTGGAGTGGTCACTGTGTTGTTCTCCTCTAAGTACTTAGTTGGTCCCGTGTGTGGGCAAGGTTGAGGCACACGTGTACAAAGCGGCCACGGTATAGGGGCCAGGTCGAGCTATACCACTTACAAGCGACCAAATCTAGATGAAATGCGTGACGACGCATAAGTTGTTTGATGTTGATTTTGTCGAATGATGTGAGCTGTATATGTGTAGTGTGCTGTGAAGCTGAGATGTA